GCCCTCTACATTTGGGCAATTGGAATCTTAGCCTCCGGTCAGAGTTCTACAATGACTGGAACTTACGCAGGACAATTTGCTATGGAAGTAAGTACTACTACTACTACTACTATGTCAACTTTATTTTCAACAATATAGATTAATAGATAAAAATCAATATATTGACAAAAGGTGGTGTATCGTCACAAAAAAATTGTCAAAGCTCAACACTAACTTGATTAAGTTATTCTGCGAAAAAAGTAAGTAACAAAAGCATTTATAAAAGAAGTGAGATGACATCTTAAAAGTATAGTATATTTTTCTTAGCATACACAATTTTGATAAATAGTCAATTTAATTTTTGATATTAAAATATTATTATATCATATTTTCTTTAGGGTTTTTTGAATTTGAAGTGGTCCCGTTGGCGGCGTATACTGATGACTCGATCTATTGCAATTTGCCCAACATTAGTTATTGCTGTTTTTAGTGGTATTGATAATCTTACTGGCATGAATGATGTTCTTAATGTCGTTATGAGTTTACAGGTATTGTATTTGTTTTCTTAATTAATTCAAATATTCCCGTTACAATAACAAAATATGTTAACTTTTTCTTTAATACTTATAGGCCAACTGAGATTAGAGAATCAATGAATTTGTAATTTGGGCTTTGTTTATGTTTATTTTTTAAGTGTACTAAATCAAAATTTTAAATATTATATGTAAAATAAATTTTATTTTGATAGCTTCCATTTGCTTTGATTCCTGTGTTAACGTTTACTAGTATGGGCAGCTTAATGCAGGACTTCCAAAATGGCATGTAAGTAAAAAAAAAGGAACATTTATAAAATTGTGACAGGCACATTAATGTACAAATTCTCATTAACAGAGAGAGTTTTGATGTAAGATGATCAAAATAAAAAAGAAATCAAATATTCCTTTCTAGTCCAATGCATTAACATCATCATAACATCATCATGGTTTAAGTATTAAAACATTTTGGTGAAACCATCGAGAATGCTCGTTAAGTCACAAATGCTCAATGATCATTTAACATGATAATATTTGTGGCAAAGACAAGCCAAACCAGTCACTCGTTGCAAAAATCGATTTTGAGTTATTAATACATACAGTAAAATAACAGCTATAAAATGGTAAAAAAATCATTCAAATCGGACATTTCCTTTGAAGTTACAAGCGTTTAACCACACAGCTGTTTAAAGAACAATATATGAGAAATTAACCGTCAAAGTTTATGATTTCAGGCATTTCTCATGCAGAAACTATCTGTAAATCCTTAAAAAGTATTGTTTTAACATTGAAAATGGGGAAAATAACAGCATAGAATGATGTGTAGATATATAAAGGTTAGTTTAGTGCAATAAAATAGATTTTTAAAAATTTGATATTCCAGCATGTTTTGGCCATTTTCTCTGAAACACAATTTGCGACGAGTGTGGCTTGTCTTTCCCACATTTGTCATAAGAGTGTAAAATCTAAAATGTGATCAAATCTAATGACCAACAAATAGCTACACATAAATGGTACCAGCTTCATGCAATCACAAGATGTATTGCTCAGGGTGTTTACATATTTAACTGACATTGAGGATGATTGTACATGTGAAAATGTTTGTTTTCAGTATTGGCATGCTGTTAATACATCATTACACATAGTTACTTCAATTCAATATAATTGTTCAATTTTCCTCTATTATGTTCCATTTCATGTTAGTTCATGTAGGGGATCCCTTTGGTAATAATTGTCTTTTTCACAATTTTATGGTTAATATCCCCAATTTGCTTTTTTGTGGTTTGATGAGTTCATGTTTATTTCTTTCTGTTACGCTTTTAAAAAGCAAATTGAATATATAAAATGAAATAATTACTTAATTTTGTTTTATTTACAGATTAAACAAGATTGTGTGCGGTACTCTGGCAGTGGCTGTGATAGCAATAAACATGTTCTTTGTTTTTACCTATTTGCCTGAGTTACCGAAAAACTGGGCCTTATATATTTTCTTGGGAATAATTTTAGTTTTATATCTTGTTTACATTGCTTACTTGGTGAGTATTGCTTTATTTGAAGTACCCCATGACAATGTGTTTGCCTGCTCATTGTATTACATACTGAATCAATCACACATTATGTGCAATTATCACTGCTACCTGGGAATAATTTTTTGTACTATTATTGTCATATTTTTTCAACACCCTACCATCATCAGTCAGTTATATTGTGCTGCGTTGAGAACTAGACTAGGCTTGTTTGCTACCAGAGGCCCATTTCAAGAACAATGGGACTTAGGTTGTAATTTTTGATGGTCATAAGCATGAACAAAAGAAAGTTTTTATTTAATAGGATATGCATATTTATACTTGATAATGTCATGTAGGTATGAAATCCAACATGATAATATTAATCATGTGCATGATTTATCATTAATTTTTTTCTAAATTTGTTTTTTTCCAGGCATCAATTTGTCTTGTGGCTCTTGGTGTACCGTATGCCGATCGAATACCTGTGAGTATTCAAAACACATTATTGATTCAAATGTATTTATTGTGGCTTTTTAAACAAGTTGTTACAATTATTAACATTTTGTCTAAACATGTGAATTTGATTTTAGTGTTTGATCATTATTCAAGTTGGTGCATTAAACATATTTTGTTATTATTGTTGTATTGGTGTTGCAGTTGTTATTATTGTTTTTTTTTTTTTTTGGTTTTTTTTTTTTTTTTCTTTTTTCTTTTTTTGTTTTTGGGT